CTAATACTCTATTTGCATGACAAGTTCATAGATTGAATATTTCATTTGTCTAAAATGAATCCATTAAATGTTACATTTAATATATATGGTGTTTCTATCATTTGTTTTCATGATATTCCTTAACAAATAAAAAAAAATACAAGCTTATTAGGCACTCACAACACTTAAAGAAACAAAAAGTTGCTTTGCATCAAAACAAGAACAAGTAGATATCTCGAAGTTTGCAAAAGACCTTCTTAACTAACACATAAGAGTGTCTTTCCTTTCAATAATATAAAGATAATTAATAGCCTCTTGATTAGATACGAAGTGACCATTTAGTAAAATGTACTTAATGCATGCAAGAAGAAGTAGGATGGAGCAAATCAATGAGTGTTACTCAAGGATTTGTGTCGATCATCTTCTAGATCACTTATATAAAGAAGCTTTAGTCTTAGAGAACATAGAGAATCAACAACCATTTCTATTCATTCTTTGTAAAATCTCTTATATATATACTTAAAAATTTGTATCACGTCTTATAAGTATGATGAAACTTCTATTATTTTTACCCAACTTAAAACTATGTGTTTTAACTTAAAGCTTGGAGAGACTTTATTATTCAAATAATACCTGGATAATTTACTTGAAGAGACAAATAAAAAAATACTTAGATTGAGTCAAAAGTGACTTTTTGAAAGAATGTTTGTATCTTTGTGAAAGATAGTGAAACTTGATCAAGTTAGTCAAGAACTAAACATAGTCTTAGTAATTAAGACGAACTAGTATAAAATACCTTATCTACTTTGATTTACTTTGTTTGCATTCTTTTAAGCTTGCGTTACTACTTCACTACTATAAAAGAGTATTGGATTTTTGATACATTGTTCAACCCTTCTTCTATTATTTTCTTTTTCTCCACATTTCTCCTCATTAAGTTATGATACACTTTTGTTTTTGGACCTTTTATATCCCATCAAATATAGGTTTGTCATCAAGTTTTACTTGTTTATGAGACTAAGGTGACTTTGTTAAGCAAGCCTTCAAGATTTCCTCTAATGACCTTTGGTTGCTCTTACTTAAAGGAGAGTATGGCTCATTGTGAGGTTTACATAAAATTTCCTTGGAGCCTTTGATTATGCTCGCTTAAGCGAGTAGATAACCTTGTTTAAATGAATCTACATTAGGTTCTTTGGGTGTTTTTTTAAGCTTCGCTTATCATCTTCTAAATTTTCCCTCTTTCATCAAGCTTTCTCTTCTCATGTTCTTCTAGTATCTAAAAATACTAAAAAATATTAAAAATATCTAATAAAGAACATAATACTTATAAAATAACTTATTTTAATTTTATTGTTCATTTTAGGTAAAAACAAAACATAGAAGCATAAGACATGTTTTGTTATTACTTAATATTGCTAGAAAATATACACATATATTGTGATTATCAAAAAAAAAAAAAACCAATGTAAAATGTCGTAATTTTTACATTAATTATAGATTTAACCAATGTAAAAGAGTACATTTCACATCAATCTAATATATAACTAGTATGAAAGGTTTTGTAAACCGTTCTTAGAACCCCATTTTGGTTCTCCCATACTCTCATTTCTCCTTGTCCAAACCTATTGCGAACCTTATCTAGCAACATCAACAATGCTTCAGGCATCTCTGATAAGTTTTTCTTATGGTTTTGTGTCATCGTTCACAACCTCAGATGATGTCCACGACCTTCAATGACATGCACTAATCATGTCATTTTTTCTTTTCATTTTCAATTTCATTTCTACTTCATTTTCGTTCCCCATTTTATTATTCATCATTTCATCAAGCTTGCTTTGTATTGCCCCTGATCTCCATCCTTTGTTCTCCAAGTTTTACCCTGGCCACTAGCAGGTACATCATTTTACCATTGTTGGTTTCATTTTTCGTTTTCGTTTCATATCATTTAAACTTTCATTTTCATTCTTCAAGTCTTGTTTAACTTTCGTTTTCAGCCATTGACGATAAACCATCTATCATTAATTATTTTTATTGTTTACAGGTTTTGGATTGTAAAACAAAAAACCAAATTTAAAATTAAAATTAAATAAAATAAAACTCACTTTCTAAACGTTAAAAAAAAAATATAATAACTTATATAGAAACTTTCCCCTATTATCATCGATCGGCTGAACAACATCAATTTTACAACTGACATAAAATACCCAAAATAACCTTTATAGAAAGATTTTACTATACCAGTGTAATGAACATTGTGAGTGGAAAAAAAGAATATCATGCTTGAATTACATCAACGTCAAAGTAACCTAATGATGTATTTGATAAGGAATTTTAGAAATTCAAAAGGAATTTTAAATTTTTGGTATTTGAATTATTTTGATTTTAATTTTTATTATTTTTAAAATATTTAGTTGGGATAAGTTAATTTAAATTTCTCAAATTTTAAATTATTAGGTTAGATATGATAATTTGATACCATGATAAAATTAATTTTAAAAATATATTTATATGTTGAGATTTTTAAATTAAATTTTATAAAAATAAATATTAACTAATTTATAAATATTTAA